TATAGTCATTGCAGTGATTACATTCCTCGCATAGTCAGCTGGCCATTCAGACTGGATTTGGCATTTTTATCTACCCATCGAGTCCCTCATTTTTGCACCCATTCAGCCTACCCAAATTAATCCACTAAAATTTGCCATAATTATTGACAGAATAGTTTTGTCTATATTTAGACTGAAGAAATGAGCAAAAATGTCCAATAAGGCTCTGATAGTTTTGGCATCCAAATTCCATTGTATTCCAATCTCTCCCAAAGCTCTTTTTAAAACAAAAGAAGAAAAAAGAAACATAAAAATCCAATTGAAATTTTAAAAACTTGTACAGTTCCTAGAAAAAATGCTTACATTTAGCTGATTTCAGGAATGCCAAGCTTGTATAGCAGCATATAGAACCACTTCATGCCATATTCTTTGGCATGAAATAAACACAAAGTAATGACAAAAGCCAATATCTAAATATGATCGATATTCAAATCAACATTAGCAATGCCTGTGGTATTTCTAATTAAAACATAGTCAGTTAGAAAAGCAATCCAATACAACTTTGGAAGGCCTGAAAGACCAAATTGAACACGTATCATCCTGAAGAAAAATTAGCTTTTCGGTCACTGTTGATGCTGTCTTGATACCACTTAATCATTAAAATATATCTTTTGGATTAAGGATCCACATTCATGCTAGCAACCTAATTAATTTATGTTCAACAGAATGCCTGTCTGAGACGGTATAGGTTCTCCTGCTTGAGCAGGGGGCTGGACTAGAAGACCTCCAAGGTCCCTTCTAGCTCTATTCTATTCTATATAGCTCCATTTGGAGATATATTTTTTTTAGCCCAGCTAAGAATTGTCCTGGAAGCCTACTGATTAAGTAGTAATTGATGGATTTTTAACACTGAATTTAAGCTATTGAATGGGGAGATCATTGTAAATATTATCTTAGTGATTGATTCTAAATAGGATAGTGAAACATAATCCAACCCTTGGGTGATGTAATCATAAATCTTAGCCAAGGTTTGGATGAAAAGGTCTGCTTAAAGAGCACCAATCCAACAGAAAAGCACACTATTAGCCTCCTGAAAATTCTACTGGATTTTACAGGGTTTTCCCAGATAAAGCACAGATGAGAGCTTACAGGAAATAGGTGCAAACAAGGAGTTTTGCATGACATTGGGGCAAATCTACAAATGATCCTAAATCTTCTTATAAATGGCAGAACATAGAATGTAAAAGAGTAAACTTGTGGGTGAAAAAGGAAGCTACGATAAGTACGTGCACTGCAGCCTTTCACTTGTTTCTTAACAACTGAGGACTATCTGGGTCCAGCCTGGATACCACACAGAAGGAAAATAGTAATGGAGAGCTTAAAAAGACATCTGATGCCAAAAAGAAAAAAACAGATCTAAAGAGCCAAAAATTTCAAAGGTCTGGCATTGGCGGTTATGCTGTGATTTGAGGCAGAATAGCCTAAACAAGAACCTTAATCATGTTTTAAGCCCAGCTGTTCTCACAAGAGAAGAGTGAACATGATTTCTTGCAAGGGTTTGTACAGTATGCTGATACTGTCTAGTTGTCTTGTGCCTATCTAGTTGTATAGGCAGGCATGCAGTGGTGGGATTCAGCCGGTTCGCACCAGTTCGGCAGAACCGGTAGCTAATTTTTTGTTGTCCAGGTCCAGAATGGATTTCTGGAAGCGGCTTCCACACAGAGAACTGGTTGTTCACAGATTTGAATCCCACCACTGCAGGCATGGGTACAGAGCTGAGGGATAAATTGTTCCTGCTTCTTCTCTCCCTAACTGGTATTGGTAAAAGTTTTCCTTAATACTCCAGCCAGTGCTGGCTTAATCAGTTCCAGGCTTCTTACACTGTTTCACATACCGTACACACATGCATATATTCATGCTGGAGATTGGAATTGAGACAGGAACTTTTCAGTACACACAGACACAGTTATGTGAATGAATGGATGGATGGATGGATGGATGGATGGATGGATGGATGGATGAATAGAAATCTCTGATACTCTAACAGGGAACTGACAGAAGAGCTTGTTGGAATTTTTTGCACTATTCAATGTGCAGATTGTAGTAATAGTAGTAGAGAGGATGAAATATTACACAACAATTATTCATGTTACAATCTTTTCACATTTGTCATATTTTTACAGCTCTGTTTCTTTTTTCTTTTTTTAAAGTTTTTATTGAGTACAAAGGAAAAAAGGATTAAAAACATTGAACATAGTAAATCGTCTTTGACTGACATCTCAGTCCATATTGTACATTAATTACATATAATATATCTATATACAACTGTACATTTCTGGTCTCTATCTTAACTTATCTCTTTGCTGTGACCTCCATTTTTTTCTCTCCATCTATAAAATTTGTTCCATATTCAATAAAATTATGTTTCTTCCTGATTTTTTTAATCTTTTAGTTATCCTGTCTAGTTCTGCGCAATACATAATTTTCTTTATTAGTACTTCCCCACTCGGTACTTCCATTGCTTTCCACTTTTGAGCAAATAGTATCCTTGCTGCCGTAACCACGTGAATAATTAGATACGTGTCCTCTTTATTTACATTTTTCTCTAGTATTCCTAATAGTAATTTCTCAGGTTTGTATTGAATGTTTTGCCTAGTCATTTCTATTGCAATTACAGCTCTGTTTCTTGATCTGTATTACCTATTTGTCAAATCAACAAACCTCCATCTTTTCTTTCTTCAATTCCCTCCTTTGGAAAGTAATTTTTACAAGTATGAAGTCCTGAGCTTGGACACATATTCTCCTGGTTAGGTCAAAAGTTCAATTGTTCATCCCTGTTGGGATGCTATTGTAAGTTTAGAGTGATTCAGGATTCTAGAAGCTTATTGTGACACTTCTTTAAAATGATTTACCAGAGTTGGTCCTTTGTGCCATGCAGATAAAAATTAGCTTGGGTTTCTGCCAGACCTTGGTTAGATTCATTGCCTTGCAGGGCAACAGCAATGAACATTGGTCTTATATTTTCAATGAAACCATCTATTTTGTGAAATATTTGAACATGAATATTCCTCTCTAGGCCTATGCATTAGCCCACTGAGTTAACCATCTTTCACCGTCAACTCATAATTTAAGTTTGCTAAACACGAATGGGAAAGGCTACTTCCTAGGGATCCCAGACCAGATTGTAAATTGGTAAAAGACCTGCATTTTTGGTGAGACTTTAGCTCAATGGTATATGTGTGTGTGTGTGTGTGTGTGTGCGTGCGCAGAAGCTCTCAATTTAATCCTTGGTATCTCCAGGTAAGGTTGGTAACCTAGAGGTCCATTTCTAATCAATATTGACAGGACTGGCTTAGATGGGTAAATTATCTGTTGCAGAATAAGTTTCTGATATCCATATTTTTTATTTATTATTTATTAGATTTATGTGCCAGCCAGCTTGCCTGGAGGCAATTCATCCATATGCTTTGCAAGCAGAAATATGAGATGTTTATTCTGACAAAAGTGATCAGATTATAGACTGTGGGTAAGTTCTCTGCTGGATGGACACTACCAGCCAGTGAGAGATGGCAAGATTGGGCTAGGATGTCCAGTGTAATGTCTTTAGTTTGTCTTGGTGAAGTTTGGTGTACAATTTGGTAACTTGTATGCAATCAACCAATGGTAGTTTATTCAACAAGCCATGGTCAAGCGAGGCTTAGCTTAGGGCAATGTGAGAAGCCAGTCAGAGTCTGATAAATTCAAAGGCGGATGTTTAAAGAAGGCATTAATTTTAAGAGTTTACCAGGAGGCTTTTATATTATTCTTTTTAAATGGCTAAGATGCTGCAGTGGCGGACCAAGCCATTGAAAGACTGACCTGCCTGTTGAGTCCTTATCCAACAGGAGAATGAATATACGTGTGCGGGATTGAGTTGCTGCCTTTGTATTCGTTCCTATGAATGGTTTTATAAAGTGATAATTGGATAGCCGCCTTCTGCATTCTGATTGCCAGAGGAGCTTCACTTCACTCTAATAAAACAGATTAAAGTAACATAAGAAAAGTGCAGCTTTCTATTTAACGGCACAGACTGTATTGATTTATGTATTTAAGGGTGTGATTACTTTCTCTCAGACTTTGAAACCACAATCCCCCCACCTTTAAAAAAAAAAATCTATAGCCAGAGTAGAATTGCCTTGTGAAAGAGTGATCAACCAAGTCTCTGATTATCTAGCTCTCTTCTCCACCATTCGGATTCTTCCCAACTAGATGACTTCTTCCTTCAAGGCAGGGGAGGGAGATTTGCAAAGAAAATGGCAGGAATGACACCCCATGATAAATCAAGTCTAACAGCATACTGAAAAATGGGCCAAAGACAGCAAGTGCTGTGACAAATACAGCTGACAACAAGTATATACGGTATATCTGCTTGGGAGGATTTATGAGAAGGGAATACAAATAAGGCCACATGACATTTGGGTCTGATAAGTTGTTTTAAGATCATTATTATTATGTGGTTAATAAGGCACTATTTAAAATGCACAAACAAACACAGGTTATATCTTACTCTACACATGTTATAGCAAACCTCTAGAACTTGGTAACTCTTAGGACTTATTGGTAATTGTTAAGTTGTTTTTTTTAAAAAAAACAGGGAAAATGAGGATGTCAACACTTTTCTCTAAATTTCAAGGACAGCTGAGTGCTTCTTGTTAGTGCTTTTTGTATTCAAGAAAGGCTGATTTCAGTGTGAACTCTGTAAATCTCTTTTCTCTCCCGAGCTTATAATAATCCTTCTGTATCCTGAACACCTTTTGTAAGTGCTCTGATTTCATTTACCAGTACAGGATATTTATCGTGGGACAACAGGAAATATAAGAATGGGCCGTACAATTCTTACCACAAACATTTCTCTCATTTACTATTAAGCATTTTGTAAAAAAAAAATGGGGAAAAAACAATCATCAAAAATATATTGATTCAAAAACAGGATGGTTTTGCTGTCTTCTTTGTAACTATTTCTCAACTCCAGAAAGTCAGGTCCCTTCTTCGCTTTGGCAGCACAAATTGAAACAACATGGAGAAGACTAGCATGCCCCCTGTGCAAGGATGACATGCAAATTCATGAAGCATTCCATATTTTTTGCACAACCATTTGTCTAAAATGGTTTAGGACAGTGGTTCTCAACCTGTGGGTCGGGACCCCATTTGGGGTCGAACGACCATTTCACGGGGGTCGCCAAACAACGCAGTCCACCATTTTTTCCCCCTTTTCCTTAGCTGTGCTACTCCCTTTTATTCTATTGGCTTTTGAAAGCCAATAGAATAGACTCTCTTGAATTTATTTATTTATTTATTTATGAGACTTATATACCGCTTTAAGTGCAAGCACTCTCTAAGCGGTGTACACCAGTAAGCAATGTATATATATATTTACATTGCCCCCAATAATCTGGGTCCTCATTTTACCTACCCCGGAAGGATGGAAGGCTGAGTCAACCTTATGAATAGAGTCTAATTCTATTGGTTTTCAAAAGCCAATAGGAATTGTCCAGGCTGTCTCTCCCCTGCTGAGCCCGCCAAAAGTCCCATTCTGCAAACGGTGCTGCACCAGTTGAGTAGTTCTCAACTTACGACCAGTTTAGTAGTCCTCGACTTACGATGGGTTGGGGGTCGCGGCATTAAAAAGGTTGAGAACCATTGGTTTAGGGTTTCTGCCTGAGCAGGGGGGTGGACTAGAAGACCTCCAAGGTCCTTTCCAACTCTGTTATTCTGTTTCTTTTCTCCTCTTCCTCTCATATCATTGTTAGGAGGATCTGGAAGCAAGAAAAACATAGGAGGTTTCTAAGTGACAGACAAGCATTAATGGAAAGTAAATGATAGTAAATGTCCGGAAGATGAAGGAAGGTTTGCTTTACATACAAAATCTTGTGTGAGTTTGACAGAGAGAGATGAGAGAGGATTAAGAAGTTTGGAATCAGATCTGGGAGACCAGATAGGCTACTTGGGACCATTCACCATCTCTCAATTTCAGTCATCTTCGCAGAGTTGTTATTAGGGTAAAATGAGGAAAACCACCACCTTATCTTCCTAAGAAAAGTATGTCTTGCAGCATGGAAAATGTAACAAATTAGATTTTGACTTACAACCATTCATTTAGTGACTATTTGAACTTATAGCAGCACTGAAAAAAAAAGGAGTTACAATCAGGACTCACACTTACAACCATCCCAGTATCCTCATGGTCACATTGTCAAAATTTAGATGTTTGGCAACTGGCATGTATTTATGATAGTTGCAATGTCCCAGAGTCACGTGCTCGCCAATCATGACATTTTCAGCAGCTTCAGATAAGCAACACTCAATAAGGGGAGCTGAATTTGCTTAACAACTGTGTGATTGACTTAACTGCCAGGATTCACCTAACAACTAAGGCCCAAAAAGGTCATAAAATTGCATATGATTCACTTAACAACCATTTCACTTAACAACAGAAATTGTGGTCCCTATTGTGGTCATAAGTCAAGGACTACCTGTACTTGATTGATTAGTGCCATCCAGTTTATGGGAACCTCTTAGTGTCCACGTAGATTTCCTTGATTTCTCAATGCTCTACATCTAAGAATGAAGTAATAATGCTCTACAACTTAAATGAAGTTCTAGTTTCTATTTCTCTTCATGGAAAAGAAGGCAAACTTATCTCTTGTCAGTTATCTTTCTGCACCGCATTGATTGACATTTTAAGGTTTCAAGATATTAGGAATTGGTCTTTTCCTGTTTCACCTTTAGAGGTAAACAACCTGTGAGCTGAGTAGTAAATGAAAGAAAGTGACAGTAATGTCTGATGGAAATTAGACTTTCCTCCATGTCTTGGGCTTCCCAGAGTGTATTTTATGTATAGGGAAAAAAATTATGCATGTTGCACGTCTTCCTCTCTTCCGTCCAGATTACAAATGGGTGGTGCCAATTTGCATTTTGATTATGCGTGATGGTTCCATATATCTGATGAACTGATATTAAAACAATTCTTTAAAAAAGCATACTGATTAAAGACACATTGATGTTGCTATTTTTAACGTGCCTTTTCGGCTGTAAATCAGGGTTTTAATTCTCCTTTCATAAGGCTATCATAATACTATCCGTAGTGGGGAGAGGGGAAGAAAAGCTAATCCTCCAATTATTTTTCCTTTTGGTTTTTCTTCATCTTTTTTACTCTTTCAAATGACTTTACCAAAAATGGGGGTGGGTGGGGGGGAGGTCACTAATCAAACTTTCTTCAATTAACTTTATCTCATGAAATAATCAAGGTGCCCTTCCTTTTGCAATCATGGGATCCCATCTCATTTGAAGTTTAGAACTTTGTATCTATTGCCTACATTGTACATTGCTGCAGTTTACGGCTCCCGAGATAATAATTCAAGGAGTAAAGCTTTAGTCTTTTCCCCAAAGTGTTGCCAACAATTATTTGTTATAATAACTACTATGCGTTGTTTTAAATGGAAGATCGGAGCCACGATAGGTTAAATGGGAAATCCATCTAACACAGTCCTGCATTTTCCAGCTTCCTGGACCATAAACCAAGCCTGAGCACTGTTTATATCTATTCTAGTATATCTAGTATATAGATATACTAGATATACTATATATCTAGTATATCTAGACATATACTATATCTAGTAGCAACTGTGAGATGGATCTTGGAGTCCTAGTGAACAATCACTTAAATATGAGCCAGCAATGTGCTGCAACTGCTAAAAAAGCCAATACAGTGCTAGGCTGCATTAACAAAGGGATAGAATCAAGATCACGTGAAGTATTAATACCACTTTACAATGCCTTGGTAAGGCCAAACTTGGAATACTGCATCTAGTTTTGGTCACCATGATGTAAAAAAGATGTTGAGACTCTAGAAAGAGTGCAGAGAAGAGCAACAAAGATGATTAGGGGACTGGAGGCTAAAACATATAAAGAACGGCTGCTGGAATTGGGTATGTCTAGTCTAATGAAGAGAAGAATGAGGGGGGACATGATAGCAGTGTTCCAATATCTCAGGGGCTGCCACAAAGAAGAGGGAGTCAAGCTATTCTCTAAAGCGCCTGAAGGCAGGACAAGAAGCAATGGATAGAAACTAATCAAGGAGAGAAGCAACCTAGAACTAAGGAGAAACTTCCTGACAGTTAGAACAATTAACCAGTGGAACAACCTGCCTCCAGAAGCTGTGACTGCTCCAACACTGGAAGTTTTTAAGAAAAGACTGGACAACAATTTGTCTGAAATGGTATAGGGTTTCCTCCCTGAGTAGGGGGTTGGGCTAGATGACCTCCAAGGTCCCTTCCAACTTTATTATTATTATTATTATTATTATTATTATTATTATTATTACTACTACTATTATTATTATCATCGTCATTATCATCATCATTATCATTATTATTTTCTGCATTTGGGATCTTTTGTCATTGCAGCCATTTACATCCCTCTCTGTCTTTCTCAGTGCTTGAAGAGAGAAAAAAAAAAATCTGCAGAGCAGGACGAAAAAGGATTCACTCCTATCTATTTGTGTTTATAGACAGTCCTCCTCTTATGACCACAATTGAGCCCAAAATTTCTGTTGCTAAGTGAGATGGTTGTTAAGTCAGTTTTGCTCTATTTTGCGACCTTTCTTGCCACAGGTGTTCAGTGCATCCCTGCAGATTAAGTTAGTGACACGGTTGTTAAGTGAACCAGGCTTCCCCAGTGACTTTGCAAAAGGTGATCACATGACCCCAGATATTGTAACTGCTATAAACGTGAACCTGTTGCCAAACGTCTGAATGTTAATCATGTGACCATGGGAACTGTGGCAAAAAATATATATATTATAAAATCAGGCTCACTTAACAACCATCTTGCTTAGCAATGAAAATTCTGGTTCCAATCGTGGTCAGTTGAGAACTACCTGTACACATGTCAATCTACCTGTCAATCATAATTCTCTTCCAGCAGTGTTAAACTCATTTCTACGTTCTAGACCAGGGGTCTGCAACCTGGACAACTTTAAGACTTGTGGACTTCAGCTCCCAGAATTCTGGGAGCTGAAGTCCACAAGTCTTAAAATTGTCCAGGTTGCAGACCCCTAGTCTAGACCATGTCCAAAGACAAAAGGAAAAACTAATGGTTTTAAAAATGAAATAGAACATAAATTGTAAGGTGCCATCCTAAAAAAAAAAACTTTTATCCTTTTTTTTTAAAAAAATACTCATTTTGTCTCTTTGTTGATATCAGAAAGAACTTTTTTGATATGGTTCTGCAGAGTTATCTATCTCCTTAGAAAGTTCATGACTTCTATAGGACTTGAAATGGTAAATGCTGGGTTTTGCCGATCAGGTAGACTAAATCTTCGTATCTTCTAGTATTGCAAAAGACAAAAAAAAAAAAATCAGAAAAGGGCAATCAATAGACACACTGGGAGTTTCACTTACTGCTGATATTTTGTATACTGGAATGTTTACAAAAGAATATTTAAAGAAAAAATATTTATTTTACAAATCTCCATAATCCCGCTTGCGGTTTTTTTGAAAAACACAGCATGTATAATGCAGTTAGGACTGAACACTGGTGCCAAGCACTGGAAAGCAATAGGTAAGCTTCAAAAATAAATAAAAACTAAGCTTTATTTAAACTGATTAAGCATACTACTTACCAAAGCTCAGCTTTAAAAGACTATAACATCAAATGGTATGTATACCAGTTATTTTCTATTTATCATATTTCCATTTCAGCAGAGGAGGTAGTTCTGCAGATCATATCATGGTGGACCACACTTTTTTCATTGGTGTTTCTAGAGCTGGGACTGCTATCAGTGGTGGGATTCAGCCGGTTTGCACCGGTTCAGTAGAACCAGTAGCTAAATTTTGCTGCATTTGGAGAATCGGTTGGCTTCCAGGAGTCCACTCTAGGCCTCAGAGGCCTGGAGGAGGCCTCCCAGGCCTAGAATGGCCCACTGCAATGCTAAAGTGTTCTATGTTTTTAGAATCCAGATAGACAAGCATCTGCCATATAACTAAGGTGACCACTTTTTTACAATGAAAAGGAGGACACAAATAAATTGAAGAAAAAAATATCGTAAATAAAAGAAACATTTTATTCATTGCAACAATAATAC